ATTATGAAGGTCAACCTTAGAGTCTAAAGGTTTTCGCTTGAGTAGATCTAAAATTGAATATATGGAGTATAATTTTAGTAGCAATAGACCTAGTAAGGGGATTGTGACTTTGGGCGATCTAGTCATTAATAAGAGTACACGTTTTAGATATATTAGATCTATTGTTCAGAGTGATGGTGAAATAGATGGGGATATTATCAGCAGAATTCAAGTTGGATGGTTTAAGTGGAGGAATGCATTGGGCTTATTGTGCGATAGAAAAGTCCCCCTCAAACTTAAGGGAAAATTTTATAAGATCGTGGTGAGACCTGCGATGCTTTACGGTGCCGAATGCTGGCCATTAAAAGAGAAGCATAATACTAAGTTAAGTGTTGCAGAGATGAGGATGCTTAGGTGGATGACTGGCTTGACCCTCAGAGATAGGATACGAAATGAGCATATACGTGAAAAGGTTGGAGTAGCTGCAGTGGAAGATAAGATTAGAGAGAGTCACCTTAGATGGTTTGGTCACATTAAACGGAGGCCTTCCGATGACCCGGTTAGGAAAGTTGAGGTATTAGATTTGACTTATGTTAAGAAAGGTAGAGGTAGACCTAAAAAGTCTTGGTTAGAAAATATTAGAAATGATATTTCTTTATTAGATTTAAATGAGAATTTGACTTTTAACCGGACACAATGGCGAAAAAAGATTCATATAGCCGACCCCACGTAGTGGGACAAAGGCTTGATGTTGTTGTTGTTGTAGAAATGATTAAAATTCACGCTACAAAAAATGATATAAATCACATTTGAAAAACTTCAATTAAAGGCACAAACCAGCTACAGAATAAATAAATATCAAGAATACTGAAAGAAATAACCCAAAATGAAAATCCATGCCTTTTGCAGGAACAATGAGATTTGTATGTGGAAGTAGCCTTCAAAGACCAACATAATGCTCTTATAAAACACATCCAACTAGCACACACAAAAATTAAGAAAAAATATTAATTTATTTTAACTTTCAATATTTAATAAATTTTTTATGCCTGGAGGTTCTATTCATAGCCTACAAAAGACCTCAAAAAAGCAATTTCTCTATATCCTCGAAGTTTCAGCTAAAAGCTACAATCTTCAATTCTCTCAGAAACAAGTTCAAGTATCATAGTTTACATTTGCTGATATACATGAATGGAACACCAAGAGATGGAAAGACCAAGAAAGAATACATGCACATAAAGGAAGACAGTATTCCTACGAGTTAACGATTTCCTTAAGAGCTCTTGCGTTTGTAGCAGAACTGCCGGTGAAGGTTCCCAATACTGTATAAAAATGCTATGCTTCATTTTATGAGCTTTTCTTTACAAAAGCTACTTTTAGAACAGAAATATTAAAACAGCTCAATAAAATAATAACCCGACAACAGTTTCTCAACCTCTTTTATGAAAAAGAGAAATCCAATCAACCAAACGAGTGCATGTTCTAATAAGTTGACATCCAATTCAAATGCTAGGTTAAAAAATGGGCAATACGTTTTTTTTTATATTTCAATGATTTAGGATCAAATGAATTGCCAGTTCTATTCTATTTCAGTTCACGTGCTCATGCCAAAAAATGTCTTCAGAGTTTAGGCAAAGATGTGGAGTCTATTTATGTGGAGGAACATGGTATGACGATGACAAAGAAAGAGATGCTTCAGATCTTAGTTATTGATCCAATGATGGGAGCTATCGAGGTCGACTGGAGGGATTTCTTCCCATACTTGAGATGGGTTCCCAATAATAGCATGGAAACAAAAATTCGCCAGATGGCAACACGCAAAAGGGCTGTAACAAAAGCCTTGATCAATGAACAAAGGCAACGTATTGCTCGTAGAGAGGTACCCTTCCCTCAAGTGAACTCCATTTTGTACTCACATTTGTCTTGCGACTACACATATTTCATGCCCAAAACAGGAAATTAGTTATGTGGATTACTTGCTATCAAAAGAGACTACACTAACTGAGGAGCAGTTCATCGCATTAGTTTGGGAATCAATCATTGAGACATCTGATACAACATTGATCACAACAGAATGGGCCATGTATGAACTTTCAAAGAATCAGAAATGCCAGGTATCCAATGTAATTATAAAAAAATGTTTTCTTAATAAAAGTTAGCATGAGACTTCATATTCTTTTTCTCTTCTCAGGATCGCCTTTACCAGGAAATACAAAAAGTTTGTGGATCGAAAAAATTCTCAGAGGAAAATATTCAACATTTACCTTATCTAAGTGCTGTTTTCCACGAGACACTAAGATTTCACTCTCCTGTGTCCATCATACCTCCAAGGCATGTCCATGAAGATACTCAGCTGGGTGGCTATAACATTCCAGCGGGAACTGATGTAAGAATTGTTTTAATATTTTTTTATTCTGCAAGCTGGCTTCGTTTGGTTGCTTGTGGATAGAAAAAATATTTTAAAATTTGATTCTTTTTGTTTTCATTCATTTTATGCGTGAAAAGAAAATCATCATTAAAAAAAAAAGAGCGTTAGACCGGTCCAGTCGGTCCAGCACAAGGGACTGGCCCTTGTTTACTCTTGGCAGAAGCCTGGTCCGCCTCAGCTGCAGTCTGGCCCCATTGGGGTGTGGCCTAGGGAATAATGCAATGAGTGTGTGACTAGGAGGGAATTAATTAGGAAATACTTCCAAATTGAATTTAAATTAAATTCAAATAGGAGAGGGAAATAAGTAAGGAAAGAGGAGAAATTTGGGGTTGATTTAGATGGAAATTAAGGGATATTTGGGGCTGATTTGGGAGGAAAATAAGGAAGGGCTATTTTGGTGTTTGTTGTTTATTGTATGCTTTAAGTAATTGATTTACCCTAGGGTTTGGGTTATGCATATTATAGATTTTTTCTGGTATAGTTCTTTTCTTGGAGGCTTCCTAATGACGTCTAGGTTGTTTGGGAGAGCCGTTTTACCTCTCGAATTGTAGATCAAATGTATCTTATTTTTCTTATTGAAGTGCCAATACAAAATTAAGAATCATTTTGATATTCCTGCAATTTTCTATTTGTTTATTTGTTGAATTTATTTCCTAGGCACATCAAATTAGTATTAGAGAATATTTTTGGGACCTATGACTCAGAGAAGAGTTTAGGCGTTGGAAGAAAAGATGGAGGGAAAAAGTAGAGCAGCTGCAAACATATGTGTTATCGTTGAATGAGCATTTTTCAGTGATGGAAAGAAAACATAGGAATTGGTTGAGATGATGAAGCAGATGTTAGAGTTTCAAACTAAAGCGGCTTCGCTGGAAGCAATGAGGAATCAGGAAAATAATATGTCAAGGAAAGATGAAGAGGTGGAAATTGAAGGAGAGGAGGAAGGAATACTGCCCTCACCCCCTTGAGCCCTTACTGAGGTGGGGTATCAATAGGGGATATGAAGGTAGGAGGGAATGGGAAGAGGAGGACAGGCAGGTTGAATACGACAAGAGGAGTTGGGGAGGGGAACCATGGAGAGTTTCCAATGCTCGCTTCTTGGGAGGCATGAGATGAGGATATGGGGGTGGAGGAGATCACAAGATTAGGAAGTTAAAAATGCTGATATTTGAAGGGGATGACACGCATGGGTAGATATATAAGGTGAAGAGATACTTTGCGGAGGACGAGTTAAAAGAAGGTGAGAGACTTGTGAAATCAGCTCTATGTCTTGAGGGGAAGGCACTAGCATGGTACCAACAAAGGGAGATTTTTTAAAGGGAGGTTACCAGAGATAGTGATAGGGAGCAATTTTGTTAAATGCGGCAAACCAGAGTTGAGAGCAGTGGTGTGGGTGGAAAGGCCTCATGACCAAGGACAAGAATTCACTATTGAAGAGCAGTAAAGGGGTCCGTTTGGCAGGTTCCTACTGCACGACAACCACCTTCCTAGCACCTAGGGTGCAGACTATACCAGTTCAAAGGGAGGCTCCAAAGGAGGGCGGTTGTAGAACTCGACAGGGCGGGAACTTCAAGAGGCTAACTGATGCTGAATTGCAAGACAGGAGGGATACGAGGCTATGTATTAGATGCGACGAGAAATTTACACTGGGACATAGATTGAAAAATTGTACCTTACAGTTTCTCCTTATGTGCGACGAGGAGGAGGTGGATGAGGTAGAGGCAGTAAGGGAGGAGGTAGAGAAATATGAGCCCTTACACTTGGAGGTGGCTGAAGTTTCATTGAACTTTGTTGTGGGATTTCTCTCGAATTACACTATGAAGGTGAGGGGGCAGATAGGAGGAGAGGTTGTGGCAATCCTGGTGGACAACAGGGCTACACACAATTTCATATCAAACTAGGTGGTAGATAAGTTGGGTCTGAAATTGGTGGACACGTGATGTTTTGGAGTGATTATGGGCACAACAAGGGTGGAGGAGAGCAGAAGGATCTATCAGGTTTTGGTGGTAGAGTTGCAGGGGATTCACATTAGGGAGGATTTTCATCTATTAGAGTTGAGAAGTACTGATTTGATTTTTGGAATGAAGTGGTTATAAACTTTGGGGGAGACCAATGTAAACTATATGCATTAGTTATGAAGATCGTGGTGGAGGGGAGAAAGGTGGTAATTAAGGGAGATCCCAACTTATCCAAAATAATGATTTCTTTGAAAATGATGGTTCGTGCCATACAAAGGGAAGGAGGGAGATTTTTGGTGGAGCTCTAGAGTTTAGAGGGATGAGAGACAGAGGAGATAGAGGACCTTCCAGACATTGTCCAACCACTTCTTCAGTAGTTCAGGGAGATATTCTAGCTTCATCAGGGATTGCTACCCCCACGTGAGCACGAGCACTCTATTGTTCTGAAGGAGAGGGTCTCCCCTATTAGTGTCCCACCATATCGTTACCCTTAGATCCAGAAGGATGAAATTGAGAGACTAATTCTGAAGATGCTTGAAGCTAAAATCATTAAGAAAATGCGAGCCCTTTCTCTAGTTCTATATTGTTGGTAAAGAAGAAGGATGGAAGTTTGAGGTTCTGTTTAAACTATCATGCCCTGAATAAAAAAATTATATCAAACAAGTTTGCATATCAATTATTAATGACCTGTTAGATGAGTTCCATGGATCTGTGATATTCTTTAAGACCGACTTGAAATCCGGGTACCACCAGATCAGAATGTGACCAGGAGAAATCACTAGATAGCTTTCAGGGTGCATGAGGGACACCATGAGTTTGTGATTATGCCTTTTGGCCTCATGAATGCACCAACCACTTTCCATTATTTGGTGAATAGTGTAATCCAGTCCTTATTGCGAAGGTTTGTGCTAGTATTTTTTAATTATATATTGGTATATAGCAAGTCTAAGGAGGAGCATTTGGAATATTTGAGAATTGTGTTGTCTACCTTAAGAGAACACTCTTTGTTTGTTAATCAGAACAAGTGTTATTTCGTCTAGCACAGAGTGGAGTATTTAGAGCACATGATATCTCAAGAAGGTGTGACATCTGACTAGGATAAGATTGAGGCCATGCTTAGATGGCCCATACCTAAGACTTTGAAGGAGTTGAGGAGATTCTTGGGCCTCACAGGCTATTATTTGAAATTTATGAAAGGATATAGTTCTATAGCAGGGCTGTTGATGGAACAACTTAAGAAGGGCAACTTTAATTGGGTAGATTTAGCCACCCAAGCTTTTGAGGAGTTGAAGGAGGTGATGACCAGTGTCTTAAAATTAGTTCTGCTAGATTTCAGCCCTCCTTTTGTAGTTGAGACAGACGCTGCAGGTTTTCGGTTTGAATCGATACTCATGCATAACTAGAGACCAGTGGCCTATTTCTGTTGGATGTTGATGGGCAAGGCTTAAGTCAATCCATGAGGAGCTGATGGCGATTGTGTTTGCCATTCAGAAATGGTGGCCTTATTTGGAAGGCATTTCATCGTCAGAACTGACCAAAGAAGTTTGAAGTATTTGTTGGAGTAGAGAATGATCACTAAGGAGCATCAAAGGTGGCTTTCCAAGTTATTGGGCTATGACTTTGAGATTTAGTATCGACCAGGGGTCATAAACAAAGTAACATATTGTTTATCCAAGTGGGTGAGCCCTAAATGATGGCATAATCTATGCCTTTAGTAGTTGACTGAGAAGAATTAAGGAGAGAGAGAGAGAGCATGATGCAGGGTTAAGGAAAATCAGGGAGGAGCTGGTGGAAAATAAGGATATCCATCCGTGATATTCACTAGTGAGACATAAATTACTTCATTATGGGAGGTTTGTGCTTCCTAAGACCTATTCTTACATTCCTTGCTTGCTTTAGGAGTTTCGCTGGATGGCCATTGGGGGACATTCGTGGATTAAGAAGACATATCGCTGGCTTTCTGTAGAGCTGTATTGGGAGGGTATGCAGCAGATGTCGAAAAGATGGTGGCTAGTTGTGACATATGTCAAAGGCACAAGTATTTAGATGTTTCCTAGTAGGCTCTTCTTGCCGTTAGCTTTGCCAGAAAAGGTGTGGGAGGAGGTGATCATGGACTTCATTGAAGGGATGCCAATTTCAAAAGGATACCCAACGATACTGGTCACAGTGGATTGGTTTAGTAAGTATGTTCATTTCATTCATCTTCTCCACCCCTATAAAGTAGAATTAGTAGCGACAGTCTTTTGGAGGGGGGTGGTGAGACTACATGGGATACCATAATTAATTGTATCAGATTTGGACAAGATTTTTTTGAGTCAGTTCTGGAAGGAATTGTTCAAGATGCAGATGACGATTCTGAAAAGGTGCACTGCTTATCATCCTCAGACGGACGGACAAGCACAGATGGTTAATTGTAGTGTGGAAACTTATCTTCAGTGCTTTGTAGCAGATACCTTAAAGTTCTGGAAAAGAATGGTTGGCATGAGAAGAGTATTGATATAACATTTCTTATTATTCGACAACTTAGAGAACACTGTTCAAAGTGTCATACAAAAGAGATCCACCTCATTTGATACGTTGTGGATAAGGCAGCACATTGGTGGCATCAGTAGAGCAGTACTTGAAGGACAGAGATAGAATCTTGGTGGAATGGAAGGGGAATTTGTTGAGAGCTCAACATATTATGAAGAGGTCAGCAGATGCACAAAGGAGAGATATTTAGTTTTAAGTGGGGGACATGGTTTACTTGAAGCTTCGGCTGTACATATAGAAAACCTTAGCATGGAGAATGAATGGTAAGTTATCACCTCATTATTTTGGTTATGAAATAGTGGAGTGCATTGATGTCGTGGCATTTCATCTCTAGTTATCACTGCCGTTAGCCATCCACCTGGTGTTCATGTGTCCTAGTTGCAATGTTTGGTAGGAGAGTACATTCTTTTTTCTTCACTTTCCATGACCTTAACGGACGACATGGAGGTGTTGTTGGAATCATTGGAGGTCAAAAGAGTGCTTCAATGAGTAACAGGAAGCAAAGAAATTTTAATCAAGTGGAAGAACTTCTCGAAGTAAGAGATCACATGAGAGTCCTACCAAATTATTCAGCAGTAGTTCATTTCATTCCACCTTGTGGACAAGGTAGCACTTGAGGGGAGTGTTGTTAGACAAGTCCAGCCAGAACGACACAAGGGACCGACCCTTGTTTATTCCAAGCGGAAGCCTGACCCACCCCTTTTACAGTTTTCCCCTATTGCGGTGGGCCCTTGGGAATGAATATGAGGAGGGGTGGCTAGGATGGGATTAATTAGGAAATAATTCTAAATTGAATTCAAATATGAGAGGGAAATAAGGAAATAGGGCAGATTTGGGAGGAAATAGGGGAGGGCTATTTTGGTATTTGTTGTCTATTATATTCTTTAAGTAGTTGATTTACCCTAGGGTTAGGGCTATGCATATTTTAGATTTTTTTTTTCTTATGTAGTTCTTTTCTTGGAGGCTTCCTACTGGCGTTTAAGTTGTTTGGGAGAACCGATCTACCTCTTGAATTGTAGATCAACTATATCTTATTTTTTCCTATTGAAGTATTAATACGAAATCAGCAATGGTTTTGTTATTCTTGCAGTTTTTGTTTGTCTCTTTGCTTATTTTCTTTTCAAGGCACATCAAATAGTTTTAAGCAGATAAGGGTTATTTGAGGAAGGAGGATTTGTTGTAGGAGGAGAATGATGTTGATATGGGAAGGATGATTCATTGAAGGTGATGTGGAGAGTTGTGATAAGTTGTCCAGTTAGAATATTATGAATATTGAGGCATTTATAACCCTTGTATATATTAGAGTTGCTGAGGAAGACATTGGGGTTGGACCATGGAGCAAGTTTATGGCGTATGATGGGAGGTAGCCAAAAAAAATATTTGCACATGAAAGTGCAAAGATGAGAGCATGGAGTTTTTTTACTATAGAAAAGTTGAAATGGGGAATTGTTAGTGGTTGTTGACTACAGGCATTTGATGAGGTAGACAGTTATAATGAGTGTGTCAAGCCATAGATGATATGGAAGGTGGGCTGCATTAAGTGATGTGTGTTTTTTGAGTATGTGCCCGTGTTTGCAAGGGAGGAATCAGGCCCTTTTTATAAGGTTGGCAAAATTTTAAATAATTAAGATGATTTCTAAATAAAAATACAAAGAATTAGTTAGATAATATCAACAAAGTATGTTGAGTGTGAATCTTATGAGTTTTTATTTTAATTAATTAGCCAATCAATTTAAAGTGTGAGGCTATGTTGTGTATTTTTTAATGAGAATTAGGAAAAATGTTAAATTGAGGGTGGGAAATTCTTAGAAGTTAACATCTTAAGATTTGTTTTTTTTTTTTTTTAATGGTGAGCATTTTACCCACTCAGGTGCCAATATAGTTATGCCTTTGACTGTTTGCAGTTGGTGAGGTCATCTTTTTTTGGAGTGTTGGGGCACCTTATTTAGTGGTGAATGCCATGATTTTGTAAGAAGGGTTTTAATGTATGATTGATATATTCTTTGCCACCATCAGTGTGGAGATATTTGATTTTGATTGGTAATTGTTTTTTAACGAGGCTTTTGAATTTCATAAAACAAGAGGTTATTCCATATTTTAGATGCATTGGATAGATCCATACAAAACATGAATAATTATCAACAAGAAGTAGATAATATTTGTAACCTTGAGTTGAGGCAACTGGGGAAAGAATCCCACTCATTGGAGTGTATTATTTCAAGAGGCTTGTAGTTGTGATTTTAGACTTTACAAAAGGTAATCTTTGGCCTTTTGAGCTTTACAAGAAAAACAATGAATAATTTGTTGGAATTGAAAGATAATTATTTTGCTTGGATATTGTTGTAAAGACTTGGTGATGAGGGTGACTGAGATGGTGATGCCAGCAGAGCAAAAGAGAGATGTAGGCAGACAATGACGTTGGAGATTGTATTTTGGCCTATATGTGATGTGGGTAAAGGCCATTAGCAAATCCTTTATGTGATAACCAAGAGAGTGAAAAGAAATTTAGATGTTATTATTGTTAGTTAGATTAAAACAGAGAGGTGGTTGTGTGATGGGTTGGGGATATGAAAGATGTTAGGAAGAGTGAGCTTGTGCCAGTGTTGGAAGGTGTCCTTGTCCGAATGAACAATGAGAAGGTACTACCATTGCCGATGGCAACTTGATCGGTGTCATGGTTTGTTGATGACTTAGAAAGGTTGTCCAAATTGTGAGTGAAATTGGGCCATTGCGATTGGTGTTTGCGAGAAGCAGCGACAAGTGCTTTGGGTTGTTGAGGGGGAGAGGGAGATGTGAACTATAAGTTGAGATGGTGCCAGTAGGTTGAGACAGAGTGGCCACATTTGTCGCAGATTTGACATGTTATTGAAAGAGAATTTCCTCTAACGCTATTAGAGGATTCATGTATGGAGAGTAGCAATCAATCACGCTCGCAAGAGGCTCTTCCATGAGCTGTGTGAATTTCTACAGCGGGAGGTTTTTTGGCATGGTCGTCCGAAATGTTAATTTCCTTACTGATTAAGGGTGAACACAAGTCCTCTAGATTGATAGGTGTGATTTTAGTGTGAATTGATGTTTTGAAGGCTTGATATGGTAGTAAAAAATCATTAAGTGTGTAAAGTATTATGTCTTCGGGGTCCACCATTGAACTTGCTACCGTGATGTTGTTGATGAGGGTTTTAATGTTTGTAAGGTATTGAGTCATGTTAAGGTTTTTTATGAAGATGCTATGAAGTTTGTACTTGAGTTAAATAACTATTGAACTATTGGAAGATTGTAGTCTCCATCCAATAGAAATTGTAGTAGGAGTCGAGTTGGAAAAGGAAGGACCAAGGTTTATAAGGTGGAGCAAATAGTTGCAGTGAGGTTCTGTTTGATCAAGACCTACTGATTGATTGTAAGTTGGATTGTGAGTGGATAGACCATCAGGCACAAGACAGAGACGAGCAAGAGCTTCAATAGACCTGCCAAGAAAACCAACAAAACTATTCGTGCGGAATAGTTTCAAGATTCAAGAGCACCATAGGGGTAGTTGTCATTGGAAAATTAAACGGGAATGATGATGTTGATGTTTGAGATGACAAACTTGAGAGATGAGGAAATATGAATGTAGGGTTGGGAAAGTTTGGTGTGGGTGTTGCTGACTTGAGATGTGTAGGAGAAATCCATTTCATAGATGAAGTGGTGCAGGCGAGAGTCCCTAATATCATGAAGAATCACTCTGCTATAACTGCAGTTAGTAGTTATCGGTAAAGAAGCAGAGAGAATGAGCTACTGAGTATTGCGAGGACAAATAATACAGAGATATATCATTCCTGTATAAAATGTACTTGCATACTATTTTCTACCGGTAATTATGTATGTATATATAGTGCGTTTACATCAAATAAAGGTAATTAGTTTTACAAGTGTGTCAATGAGATGTAGTGGTTGTTATTAGCTAAGGGCTGTTATTAGAAGTTGCATGTAGTGCCTGCTGTAGCACTTTATAAGTGGGTGCGGCTGTTAATATTTGAGGAAGCTTTGAGTAGGTATGCCATATTTGAAATCAATGTTGATGTCTAGTTAAATTTGATCAAATGATGGATTTAACAAATAGTATTTTTTATGTGATACATAGGTATGATGTATTTTAGTTTCTCAGGCCTTTTGTATAATAGAATGAGGTTATAGTCTTATAGATGAGAATATAACTTAAATAGTTAGGTTGGGTGGTTTAATAGAGAATAACAATAAAAATGTTTTGTTATAAAAGGATGTCATTCAAGCTTACTAGGTAAATTTTATAAATTGCAATTAAATTAATGATGTTTTATGCATTCAATTATTTGGACTGTAAAAAATTTATTAATATTTAAGTTGGGTGTGAAAAAATTAAAATTGTATGATGAATGTGTTGCAAAATTAGAAAGAATGAATTTTATATTGGTTAAATTAGATTTATGGCTGGATTCATATCCATTCAATTTTTGGTAAGTAAAAATAAATTTAGATGGTTTGGATTTGAACTAGGGTGTTGAAAATGCACCTATTTGATACCTAATTAAATTTAACGCCGATGGATTATGTAGCAGAGGGGGTAGACCTATAACGACATGGATAAAATTGCATAAAATGATTTGTGAATGATAGATTTAACACCTGGTGAAACATAAAAATTAATAGAAAATGAAGATTCATAAAACCAACCTTAAATATTTCCGGATAATGCTAATGAGATTGATATATATATATATATATATATTGTATACATATGTTTAATGATTTGAATATAAGCATTATTGAGTCATTTCTTTTCAAGAACTCTCCATAGCACTTCTCTTGGAACTTTATCATATGTTTTTTCTAAATCAATAAGTATCATATGTAGATCCTCCTTATTTTCTCTATATTTCTTCATCAAACCTTTTAATAAATGTATGGCTTCCATAGTCGACCTACCCGGCATGAATCCAATTTGATTTTGAGAAACATTAGTATTACGCCGCAACCTATGCTCCATAACTCGCTCCCATAGTTTTAAAGTATGACACAATTAAATGTATCTGAAATAGAAAATATATTTTAGAAAACAATAAAACAAGTTTGATTTATTCATTTGGTTTGTTATAATCAAGCATCGACATGGGGTTTTGAAACTCCATGCAATAGTTTTCTCCTAGAACTTGTTTTGTATTTACAAGCATTCTAATAACTCTGAATTTATTTCTTATCTACCCTTTAGCATACTCCAATTGTTACTTACAGATCATCATCAACTTATATGCATGCAATATGCACAAGAAGGATTGGGAGGAACCTGAATCGTGGAAGCCTGAGAGATTTTTATCAGACAAATATGAACTAATGGATATGCACAAGACAATGGCTTTTGGAGGGGGAAAAAGGGCGTGCGCAGGCTCCCTTCAGGCAATGCTAATTTCTTGCACAGCTATTGGCAGATTAATACAGGAGTTCCATTGGAAGTTGAAGGATGGCGAAGAAGACAATATTGATACTGTGCAGCTCACAACGCACAAGCGCTTTCCAATGCAAGCCTATATAAGAGCAAGGGGAATCGAGATTTGATGCAGCTATCTTTCTTAATTTTCATGGTTTAACTGGTGAATTATTGACTTACAAGATATATTCTTGCGAAATAGTTGGAGAAGTTTGATGAACATTTCCAGAATAAGATAGAAAGCTGAAGACTTTTTAGTCGACGGTCAAATAGAACCTTTATCAAGTTAATTTGTGATCAGTTTATGCTAAATTATGTCATGTCAATTTGTAAAAGCCTATTAATTTCTAATAACTTCTCAACCTTTTTTGAAGAAAACCAATAATTTTTTTTTATAAGTTTAATCTCTCTCTCTCTCTCTCTCTCTCTATATATATATATATATATAATCACCATTAAGAAAACCTATAATTTATTTACTTTGTCCTATATTTTGGATTCTGGCTCGGATTAATTCCAATTTGGTCTAAAAATAGGCCAATGTTGTCAATAGATCATTTTTTTTAGTAAGATGAATAATAGCTTGGCCAAGAGCTTGGGTAAGAGAGCAAATACAATAACAACAACAACATCAAGCCTTAATTCCACTATATGGTGTTGGCTACATGGACTTTTTTTTTTTCCATTTTGTCTTGTTAAGAGTCAATATCTCATTTAAATTTAATATAAATGGTCATTTCTAAAACATTCTAATCAAGTATTGTTTGGTCTATTCATGCCTTTCTTAACCTAGGCTAATTCTAATGCATCTATTCTCCTAATTGGTTCCGTCAACTTTTTCGGTGGCTAAATGATGTAAGATGTTTATCCATAATCTTATCTCCCATCGGAGCTTTGCCAATCTTTTCATGTATATACTCATTTCATATTTTATCTTTAAGAGTAAAGCAACTCATCCACCCGAGCATCTTCATTTCTACAATACTTAATTTAATTTTATACTTCTCTTTTAATGACCAATATTTTGAACCATAAAGTATTACAGGTCTCACCACCATCTCATAGAATTTTCTCATAAGTTAGAGGGGTATTTTTTTATCATATAGTAGGCCCGATGCATCCTCTACTTCAACCATCAAACTTGAATACTAGTAATAATATCTTCATCTATTTCATCATCACTTTGAATAATAAACCCAAGACATCTCAAAAGTGTTCTTTTTTGAATGACTTAATTGTCGAAAGTCAGAATTTCTTTGCTTGATCTATTACTATTAAAATTACACTCCAATATACTCAGTTTTAGATCTACACACACAAATACTTTTAGACTCTACGGTTGACCTCAATAATTCAAATTTTCCTTGAACTCCCTCTCTGTCTTATCAACAAGAAGAATATCATCAATAAAAAGCATACATCAGAGTACATCCTCTTACAAATGGCTTGTAAGAACATCAATGACTAAAGCCAAAAGACATGAGCTTGAAGATCATTCTTGATATAATCCAACTGAAATAGGAAAATAATTGATAAAACCACCTTGTGTTTGAACACAAGTAACAACTCCTTCATAGATATATGTAATGACTTGAATATTAGCATTATTAATTCATTTTTTCCCTAAACCTCTTCAGAGCACTTCTCTTGAAATTTTATCATATGCTTTGTCTAAAAAAATAAATATCGTATGTAGAGATCATCCTTATTCTCTTTATACTTCTTTATCAAACCTCAATAAATGTTTAACTTCTGCATTAGACCTACCTGACATGAATATAAATTCATTTTGAAAAATATCAGTATCACATCATAACTTATGCTCAATAATTCTCTCACTTACTTTTAATCTATGACATATTAGCTTAATTCCATAATTTGCACACTCTTGTGTAACATCTATATTCTTAAAAATTGGAACCAACACACTCCACTCATATAGCATATTTTAGTCTTCAAGATAATATTAAAATATTTAGTAAATCAAGAAATTTACACCTTTATTGGGATTAAGGTCTAATAGCTTTTCCACAGTTTTTTTATTAAATCAGTCTAACCCTTCCTCCTGACAACAAAATTTATCTTGTTCTTTATATTTCTCTTATGAAACCATTTAAAGAAACTAGTTGGTTAAATAGTTCACAATAAATAAATTTTAATTTTAACAATCAACCCCTCTTTATACCTTATGCCATCTTGGCTTAACGCAGCACAAAACTTCACGGTCAGCATCATCATCAAGTATTATTGCAATGAAAATTAAATCTATTGAATGATGCCGGGTGAAGAATCCTATAAAAAAAAAATGGTTGATATTCTTCTTATTGATAAGACTAGAGAGGGAGTTGAAGGTAAACTTGAATTATGGAGGTCAACTTTAGAGTCTATAAGTTTTCGCTTGAGTAGATCTAAAACTGATTATATGGAGTGTAATTTTAGTAGCAATGGACCTAGTGAGGGGATTGTGACTGCTGACGCATATTTTCGTATCGACCCGACCCTGATCGAGCCCGACTAGGCTCGATCGACCCAATCGAATGTTGTCGAAACAAAATTGACCTGAATTAAGCCTCAATTTAACTAAATTAAATTAGATTTAATTTAATTAAAATCAAATCAAACCCAATCAAACCCCTTCGAGAGTCGTCGAGCCCAATTCAACGCAATTCAACACCGATTTGAGTTTAATTTCAAGAAATTAACTCGATTGGACCCAAATCGATCCAATTTGAGTTCGATTCGAACTCAATTCCAGGCCAAATAAGTAAATTTGGGTTGAATTTGGATCTCAAATCAAAATTTGAGATCTAGGGTTGAGATCTCTCCTCAAGTCGCACCCAATTTCACTTCAATTGGGCACATAATGTACTCAAGTGGATTTGCTTTGTTTCACGCTTCGAGGAGGCCCGATTAGACGTTTTGGGGCTGCAAGCCTGCTGTGGGCATTCGTCCCTAAGAGAACGAGCAAAAGAGAGAGAGAGAGGAGCGGAATTCGGCTCCCCTGATTTCTTTTGTTCACCCGTCCCAACCCAGAGAGCGAGCGAGAGAGAGTGACAGAGCGAATCTGGCGCTCAAGCCCTTGTTCGCATCCCTCCCTGCGTGTAAAGCTTATGTCCGACTCCATCTGAGACTTTAGCCAAGCCTTCTAGGGGTCGGCCTCCTCCCGTTGGCAGCATCTCTCTAAAGCCGCCAGGCCTCCAGGTTTGGTCCAAAGCCCCAATTCTGTCCAGATTTGGGCTGGTATGGCACTTCTTGCGGAAGAGCATTTCTACCCTCTTTCTTCTTCGTTGCCAGTGACCTCGAGGCGAGTTGGAAGCTATTTGAAGCTTCCAAACAACAAAGGAAGACTTCAAAACTCCCAAACAGTAATTTGGAACCTTCAAATCACCTTGGACAACGGCGGCGACGACCAGAACAGCTTGGACAGCGATCTTCCTCCCTTGGAGTGGCTTGGAGCAACTTTGGAGCTTGGACAGCGATCCAGATCTTCGATAGGAGCACTAGGACAAATCGGGAGAGGTATAACACTAAAACATAGGCAAAACCTTAAGGATCCCTAGCCAATGGCATGTGATTGATGATCCAAAGCCTTAGGTCCTTAGAAACTTTTATTTTTGGTCCCCCAAAATCCCTTTATTGGCTATCCACTTTGCGAAACTATGTAAATTTGGTGATTTCCATTTGTTGGCTCTCATGTGAGAGTCTGGAGAGGATTTCAATGTGTATGGAGGTGTTGGATATGTGTTCGACACCTCCCAAATTATATGTTTTTTCATTCATGCATTTCTCCCATTACCTATGTTTGAACCATAGGTTAGGCTATTCTATTTGACATAGAAATCAAATGTTAGGGTGTTAACTTTTTTTACAATGTCGCATTCTAGGTTAGGCTCCTTAGATTGACACACAACAACAAAATTGACATAGGTTTAGGGTATGTTGTGTATGCTAAAGCTCATTGCTTAATAAATTTGGTGAAAACTTGTAGTGGAGTTATTTGAGCTTGCAAAAAGATCCTTGGTGCAAATTGTTGTGAGGTTTACTACAAGTCTCCAAAGACTTATGTTGTGAACCGCATGACATTCATAACCAACCAAATCCATGACAAGCCTTTCATCAAGTTTAGTTTGTTTTAAATGGTGATTGTTTGTTCACATTTTGTTTGTATCCAAAGTTTACAAATTTGTAAGCATGCTCATTTAATTTCCAAAATGCTTTTAAAGCAAAGGTGGTGTATTCCATGACATTCAAAGGTCTATGGATCATACTCCATCATGTATTGAAATTACTTAAGCATGATTAGTTGAATTTATAAATTGAGGGATTCAAGTGCAAGGATAGTCGAATTTAGCATATGTTCATCCCCCTAAACAAACAAACAAACTTCATTCGCATTTCTAGGTTTTATGGATGATGTCAAATTCGATTGTAAGACCTCTTAGAAATCGTAGGAGATCAATTCTCTTCTCTCCTAATGAATCCAAACGTTCATTCCAAACTTTAGGGAACCCTCTTCCCTATGTGATTTTTCTTCATACATGATGTTTGAAGCCCCTCAAGGCTCCAAATGTTAAACTGTGTGAATTCTAGCTCTACCCTAGAAGCTACAAATCATCACATGTCTACTTTTAGATTTCCCCTAGATCTTGCCAAAATGGATCTTTAGTATATTCTTAGAAACTTCAAAATCCCCAAATTCATATCAAATTTGATTTGGAAAAACTCCCCATTGATTTAGGGAGACAATCCTCTCTCCTTCAAACGAATCTAAAATATTTGTAGGAGAGTAGGATGTTTTCTTCCTTATGTACATGTCCTTCATGCTTAGTAATTGGGGTGTCCTCTAATTCCCAATTATTATAGTGCATAAATCAAGACTTTAGGATCGAAGCCTAAGTCATCCCCCTTTTGTTGAGGCAAAAATCAATAAATACATGCACTTCCATATGTGATATTTTGGAGCCTCTCTAAGCTTCAAATGTTCATCATGTGAATCACTTGAGCTTGAGACAAAACTGTCAAGCCCTCCTACTTTGTCTGTTGGAGCATCTAACCAACAAACATTACTTCTATGTGTGACACTTTGGAGTCTTCCCAAGCTCCATATGTTCCCTTATACGCATCATGGAGATTGTAGGAAACAAATCCTAAGTCTCCCTTTTATTTGCTTACAGCACAAAGCTAGCAAATGAACTCTTCTCCCCTCATAAATAAAGATTTGGAATTCTCTAAAAATTCCAACACATCATTATATGAGGATCTTGGAGCTTAGGGCCAAATCCTAAGCTACCTCCTTTATTTGTTGAGTCACAAAATCAATAAATGAGCATTTATCTCCATTCACTTGGCTTCAACCAACTGAATGATCTTCCCCTTGAATACTAAGTATTCAAAGAGC